ACTTTTATCTAACGATGTATTGTTATTATTAAATAACGTAATATATACCCACTATTATACATATTCTTATATTTAAGTAATCTCTGTTCCCAGGAGGTTGGTGGGTAAATGGGGCTTTATTTAGGAGCCTATTTTTCCTTCTTTCCACGCACTATTAATAATTTGATAAAATCAATTTCGCAAATATTTAATTGATTTTATTATTATTTTTATTTAATAATAATAATAATAAAAACAAAAAAAATTAAATACAGTAAAACCATTCATTAAGAGACGTTTTAACCAATCAAAATTAAAAACACTTATTGGGGGAAAGGAAAATACAAATTTCATAACCACTATTGGGGGTTCTATTTTCCCGTTTAATCTACTTATGAGAGGTTTTACTGTATTATATATTTATCTCATTTGCTTCGGTAAATTATAGTGTTTGATGGGAAACAACTATGACCAATTGATGTGACACTGGGTGGTATGTTGACACTAGTTAGACTACTACAATTACCGAAACACCAATATCCAATTGATATCACACTTAATGGTATTGAAATGCTGCTCAGACTACTGCATCCACTGAAACAATATATACCAATTGACGTGACACCATATGGTATTGTAACACTTGTCAGACTACTGCATCCACTGAAACTGTGAATACCAAGAGTTCTAACACTTGATGGAATGTTAATACTGCTCAAACTACTGCATCCACTGAAACAATCATTACCAATTGATTTAACAATTGATGGTATGTTATGACCAAATTTATTTCTATCTTTTTTAGTGTAAGTAATATTTTTAAACTCGATGTTTCGACTCTTGTTTCTGTCAACAGTTTCGAAATCAACATTGAACCACACAATGATTCGATAGAATTCTTTCTTTAAAACAACTTTATTTTCTTTACGTTTTCTTTTGTTTATTTTTAATTTTTTCCAAAAGTTTTCATCTTCTCTATTCCACAAGTGAAATGTTTCAATGTTTGGAAAGTATCTAAGTGTTTTGGAATTCAACGAAATTGGGTTGAAGTGGAACTTCTCCATATTACCACTAAACTTCTTGCATACCGACTCCAAGTTAATAAAGTCGTTGATAGTTTTAAAATACTTTGAGACTATCATAATGTGATAACCAGAAAGTCCACACATTTTGATAATCACAGTTTTCGTTGTATAAATATTTTACAATTTGTTTTTCCAAACAATTTTAAATTATTACAGTCTGCCGAATCAACCTTTTGCAACGAAACAGCCTTTTGCAGATTGTTTTCAAAAATAACGATAATTAATAATATTTTAACCATTTTAATGGTTTTTTATTAGCCCAATTTTAGACTGCAGAAGGTGAAATTTCAAATCTTTATGTAAAAAATATAATTATTTGAAATTAAAAAAAATACCATCTAAAATGGTTAAAAATATTATTAATTATCGATATTTTTGAAAAACAATCTGCAGAAGGTTGATTTGGCAAACTGTATATTTAAAATATTATTTAAATGACAATTGAACAATTATTAAAATTCAATTAAAACCAAAATAACTTTGTTTTATTGTTAAAAGGAATCTTTCTATTTTTGATTGGTGATCCTGGTGTTTATTAAACGGATATTATTGAATGGATAGAAAGAGATGTTCCTTTGAACTTACAGTACAAAGTCATTGCACTTGTAATGGGTGCGCTGAATGCTGGTAATAGTACATTTTGAACAGCAACTAAAGGCTGTTTTGAAAAAAGGTGAAAGAGTCTAATATCCTTATAATTCAGTAAATTAATATAATCACACTATTTTAGATGCCGGTGCAACAAGAGAGAGTGTGTGTGATAAATGTGGCAAACATATGACAAATGTTGTCAAGAGGGGAGTTGTGGTGCATTGGAAAAAACCCACATTTGAGAGATAATTCCAACAGGTTTACATCATTGAGCGAAGGTCACACTCCGTCGTCATCAAAGTCGTATAAGGACCATACTGGATTGACAATCACTGACTCGGCTCTTGTTACAGCGAAGAGTTCAAGACGCTTGCGCAGCAAATCGGAGACATGAAACACAAAAATGAGATAACAAGAGATTTTGAGGTTGCCGCAGTATTGAAGTATTATGAAATTCAAGAGGCAGAGAAGCAACTCACAGAATTAAAGAACCAGACAAAAGAGACATCAATGCTGTCGTTGTAATTGATACCAATAGTTAATTAAGGTTGTGGTGAATAAACTAACAGGCGTTCTAATAAACAGAATGACACAGAATGAAGGGATAAGACTCCTGATAAAAGACGAGTTGCACAAAAAGTTGTAAAGGCTATTTCGAACGGCAGAAGTGTTCGTAACTTAGACAAATAACCAACTGAGTTATACTTGTTCCTTGGGCCAAATGGTGCTGACAAAGTGGAGATTGCAAAAACATTTGTAAAGCAGATGTTTGACGATGAGAATAACATCGCCAGAATCAACACAAGTAAGTAAAATGAGTAACACAGCATCTCTCGTGTGAATGAAGCGCTATAGGGATACTTTGGACACAACAAAGAGGGGAAAACAATTGATAGATGCAGTCAGAAGATAACCACACAGCGTTAATTTGTTTCTATTTTCGACCCCAGCATTGTTTTTATATATGAAGTTTGAACACTTTATAAAGTTGGCCACAATTATTCTCAAGTCTCTTTTTTCAACTGAAAAGAGTTTTAACATTTGCTATTTTCTTTAACTTCACCTGGTTGAGTCGTTTTTCCATTATTTTTCTCACAGTTTTTTTTCACTATTATTTTGACTATTTCTAATTTTGCATTGGTTTTAGTAAATTTTCGTTTTCTTTTTGTGGCAATACAAATGAGCTTGTTGATTTTGGCACTCAAACACCCAATCTTCTTATTGCTTTTATTAATAGTGTAGTCATGTTTCTTTTTGACACACGGAGTATGTCGTGTTAAATATAAAACGAACAACATGCATTTATTTTTAAACAATTAAAATACTGTCGAAATTGGTCGAGTACAACAATTTTCTACTAATTGAATTTCAACTGCTTATCCACTTCGTCAACTTCTTTGTCAAGAGCAGCCTTTTTTCTTTCTACGTATTTTAATAAATATATTCGTATATACATACGTTTTAATAAATATATTAATTCGTATTTTATTGTGTGATAAAGTCTGTTTTCTATTTAACGATATTGGGTATTTACTATAAAATATAATATCAATATTATAATTTATAATATAAATAAAGTGGTTTTTCCAAAAAATGTTTGTTTTTTATTTTTTTGTTCTTTTTATAAAAGTGTGCTGAAAATAACAAAAAAATGCTAAACAACTGAAAAATTATAACGCCAAAATGAATTATAAGTTGGTGTTGAAATGTGATTACGACGAAATAAACGAGTCAACTAATTTATTCAAAATGGATAAAATGTCAATTTTGATTGAGCAGACATGTCAAATTATCATTTGAATCGAATTGAAAACGACAACAAGCGATTTGGAAAAAAGTCAATGCTCAAGATTTGTTTATCATTTGTTTTAATTAATGAAAATTTTATTAATAGTTAATGGTTTCTTATTACTAATATTGAGTATAGTAAATTATAGTTTAATATTTTCGGTCTGGTTCTTTTCTTTGTTATATTTTTAGAATATAGTTACAGTAACCACAGCTAGCTATATAGAAAAAGCTAGCCTTATGGGATTGTTTTTGAAATATAGTTTTATTTATTATAACAAATTAACAAATAATAGTATATTGTTGAGAACAATGTTTTGAAAATCAGTGATATTTTAAGATATAATAAAAATAGATCTCGAATAAATCAAACAAATGGATTTTGATCATGACTATAAAACGTTCACAGAAGCTGTTGTACAAAAAAATCCACAACCAAACTTTAGATATTGATTTCGAGCTTCAAAAAACAAAAACAACGCGAGTAAAAGCATTAAGTTTCGATGAAATCAAAAATGTATCATTTTAAGTGAAAATAGACGTCTGGCTTCTTTAAAAGTTATAAACAAAGCAAAAGATCTTTTATTAAAATTAAGTCCTGATTATTTTGTGTGTCAAACAAAAGTTGATCAAATAAAAATGATAAGAAATAAATTTAAAGCTTCAGAAGCAACAAATGGCATATTGTTCGGATTGACTGATGGTGCATTCATAATCATTTAATCCAAAACAGGGTACACCAAGAAGACCAGTCATTTTACCCCTTGAATGGATGC